CTCAGAAACCCTATACAGGGTCGCTGTGGGTTGGAACCTCAGAAACCTTATACAGGGTCGCTGTGGGTTGGAACCTCAGAAACCCTATACAGGGTTGCTGTGGGTTGGAACTGACTCTCAACAGCACCTAAGAGCAGCACTCAGAAAGCCCCCTTGAAGGTTACGTAGTAGAAAAGATTGCTGTTTTCAGTGAAGCCCTGGTGGTATAATGGTTAAGTGCTCGGCAATTAACCAAAGTGGGTGGTTCAGAGCCATCCCACAGCTTTGCAAGAGAAAGGACATGGTGATTCACCCCCCGTGAAGATTACAACCAAGAAAAACCCCATGGTACAACTCTCTACTCCCATGTGTGGTCGCCACGAGTCAAAATCAACTTGGTTGGCCCCAAACAACATCATTCCTAGTTCCTTTTATCTACATTTCTGGTATGGCGTTATAGGAACCAGAAGATTGACAGTTTAAACCCACCAGCTTCTCCTTGGAAACCCTATATAGGGGTCACTATGAGTCAGAACCCAACAATGCTTTTATCTAGTCCATTCTGACTTCAGTTTCTCCAGGAAGTCATCATTAATCATTTCTAATTTGCTTACTAGGACTGTGTAGCTGAGCCTCACCATGTACCATTTGTCATGTCTGTGTTTTGTGTGGAGATTTGTTAGTATTTTTAACCACTTGTATTTATAACCGTTAACGTTTGTCCTGCCAGAGATCTGTGGGGTCGAGAATGTTTCCTCTTTCTTTTGTGATTTTCAAAATCGTGGACAAAATGACAGTATTTCTAGGCTTCTGGCCACTCCCTGACAAGCTATTAAGGCTTCTCTGTTGGAGAAGAAATTTAGAAGCATACTTATCTTCACCTCAGTGTCTAAAAATCAGATCCCACATAATAAAAAATGTTCCATCATACTTTCTTTGCTTTTTGTAACCGAGTCTCTGGTTAAGCGTGCAGCTGCTAACCTAAAGGTTAGAGGTTCGAGTCTACTGATCAGTACCTCAGAGGAAAGGCCTGGTTATCTATATCCAAAATACTGACCCTTATTTGGAGTAATTGGATTCTGAAACACATGGGTCTCCATGAGTCAGGATTTGAGTCGGTGATAACTGGTTTGGTTTGGGATTTGGCTCCTTATAACAACTATTCTCCTTTTTGTTCTGCCTTAAGATAAAGCCACCAATCCTTGCAACCGGCAGGAAGACTGGGAATATATCATCGGCTTCTGTGATCAGATCAACAAGGAGCTTGAAGGGTGAGTATCAGAGTGGTTAAGGGGCAGGTGAGAGATGGCTGACTGGAAAAAAAGAAATTGTGGCCAAGGAGGACCGAGTGGCCGATGACGCCAGGACCAGAGTAATGAAAGAGGCTCTGCTTCTCTCCAGGCCACAAATCGCAGTCCGGCTGCTGGCCCACAAGATCCAGTCCCCACAGGAATGGGAGGCGGTACAGGCCCTGACGGTAGGTTCTGGCTTCAGTGCAAATGAGAGTGATCTGAAATGTGTTCAGTTGACAGTTCTGCACTTGTGTGTCCTGGTGCCAGGCACTGTGCCAGGCATTGAGGCCTCAGAGGCACCAGAGTGTGGTCCTGTCAGTGTGGGAGGGCTCAGGCAGCTTCTGGAAGAGACGCTGACAGAGCTGTCTTGCCAGGTAAGAGCTGTCCAGCGGAGGACAGGTGAGGTGCGGATAAGCCATGCTGTAGCTGACAAGCTGGCACACTTACTGCTACCGACACAGACCTGGGTCCCAGTGCTTGCTCTGCCCAAGGGAACTGGAGATGGGGAGCAGTGTTGGTGCTCAGGTGCCTTCCTCCAAACCTGGTGCACCTTCTAGCAGTGGAGCCCCAGGGACCTCCCTGACTTCACTCAGGTCCCGGCAAGAAAGAGCCCAAAGGCACATGGAGAAGGCCTGCCATGTCTGTGGCGCTCAGGCCTTACCACAGGGGTTTGCTACCCCGGGGACATTTGACGATGTCTGGACATGGTTTCATATTACCACTATGGCGGTAGGTGTTAACTGGCATTTAGTGGACAGAGGAAGGGATGCTGCGAAAGGTCCTACATGCCCAGACGCCAGGGTTGCTGAGGTTGGAAAGCTCTGCTTTTAAAAAAGCACAATCCAGGAATGGGAGCAGTGGTGGGTGGTGCTCTCCCGCATGAACTCTGCAGAGGGACTCAGGTTAGCTCTGGGCGCCCCAGAGGGAAAAGAACCGGGTGGGTGGGACATGCCATCTACCTGGAAGGAAACAGGATTTCACCCCCCACCTTGTATGATGTTGAGTTGAAATGGACTCACAGCATCCTCGCCTTACCCAGAGAACAGCTGTGCCACAGGGTGCCCTAGGCTGTCGTCGTGGTGCTGTCCACTCTGCTGGACAGAGATGAGACTGTCCATTCCAGTAAAGATGGACACTATCTGAAGCCCTGTGGAAGGGTCCTTGTGAGTTGGAATGGACTTGATAGCAGGTGGTTACGAATCGGGCTGCGAGCTGCAAGGTCAGCAGTTCGAAACTACCAGCCGCTCCGTGGGAGAAAGATGAGGCGGTCTGCTCCCGTAAAGATTACAGCCTCGGAAACCCTGTGTAGGGTCGCTATGAGTCAGAATCGACTCCACGGCACACAACAACAACAACAACAACATAAGGTTTTTAGTTCATCTTTATAGGAGCAGATCGCCAGGTGTTTTTCCCACCAAACAGCTGCTAGGTTTGAACCAAACCACCAAACCAAACCACCAACCCAAACCACCAACCTTTTGGTTATCAGTGGAGCACTTTAATCATTATACCACCAGGACTCCGTCTATATGTCCTTCTACTCCCACCCCCACCCCCCCAGTGTTGGCCAGCTTGTAGAAAGAACCGGGACCCTAACCGTCAGCGTTCTCGCTAAGGGCCTTGGTTTCCTCCTCTGTAAAACATGGGCCTGAACTTTCCCCTCCTGTCTCCCTGGTGTCTGGGCTCTGGCATGTCTCACTGTACTTCCTGTTTAGCCACTCATGCTACTTCTCATGGAGTTAAGCTCCAGTTGGTGACTTTTGGCTCCTGGTGGTCTCTGGGCCACATGCTGGCCCCCAGCCTGGAACCCGTTGTCTCTGAGCAGCCTCTCCTCTGTGGCCACAGGTGCTGGAGGCGTGCATGAAGAACTGTGGGAGGAGATTTCATAACGAAGTGGGGAAGTTCCGCTTTTTGAACGAGCTAATCAAAGTCGTCTCCCCAAAGGTCAGTCAGTGACACTTTCCTCACTTCTAGGGACATCTTGTGGGTTTCTGCCCATCACCCATCTTACTCCACAGGTGGGAGCTGCTCCATGGCCTTGCCTTGCCTTGCCTTGCCTTGGGGAGCCTGGTGGGCCTGCAGCCCCAGGCCTGCCACGCTCCTAGCAGCAGCCCGCACGTTCCCTGGACCCGTCTTATGTGGATACAAGGAGCTGGCTTCCCTTATGACCCAGTCGCCCAACTGCCTAGGTTGTGTTTCTCGTTAGTGTAGCCTAGCTCTGTGTACCCACTGAAAGCAAAGGGAATCATCTTTCTTGCTAGAGGCATTCTCAACTCTGACTCCTTCAGGTTAAACACAGTTGTCTTTCTGGTAATTGGGCATGTGCAAACTCCCAGCCCACCTGACCACAGACTGCCTCCCAGCAGTGTCTGCCCGCCCCCCTCCCTGCTGGTTTTGTGTTGGTTCCAGGAAGGGAGTTAACTAACAAGCCCTCCATTGCTGTGAAGAGTCTCCCGCCCGCCATTCCTCCCTGCTCCCCTCACCTTTAAAGTCTCCAGACTGCAGTGACAGGTTACTTGTTTCCATTGCCTCTTAGTACCTAGGGGACCGGGTGTCTGAGAAAGTGAAGACGAAGGTGATAGAGCTGCTCTATAGCTGGACACTGGCCCTGCCGGAAGAATCAAAGATCAAGGACGCCTACCATATGCTGAAGAGACAAGGTACATCTCAGCCTCCTTCCCAACCTGGAAGACTGCCGAGGGCAGGAAGAGCTAGAGGAGGTTCCAGGCCCCAGGCTTCCTCCCTCCCTAGGAGAAATGGCACTCCTCCCACGGGGAGGGGAGGGCTTGTTGGGGTCCTGAAGGAGATAGGGCAGCAGGTCCAGCTCCCAGGGACAGCCCCACCCCGCCCCCTGTGTGCTGAGGCCGAGTGAGCTCTGTCCTGTCTCCTTGCAGGCATTGTGCACTCTGACCCCCAAATTCCTGCTGACAGGACACTCATCCCCTCTCCACCCCCTCGTCCCAAAAACCCCGTGTTTGATGATGAAGAGAAGTCCAAGGTAAAGGGCTGTGCTGAGGTTTTCTTGGGTGAGGGGGGCAGCAAGGGGTGGTTGTGGTCTTGTCCAGGACTGCTCCCCAAGTTGGGTGGGGTCCCTCTTCCCTCCACCTTTGACATCCCCCTCTTTCAGCTTTTAGCCAAGCTGCTGAAGAGCAAAAACCCAGATGACCTACAAGAGGCCAATAAGCTCATCAAGTCCATGGTGAAGGAAGTGAGTGTGCCCCGGAGGCGGGGTCAGGGAAGGCTCCTCACCTGCAGAGGCCAGAGGATGAGAGAAGGGACCGGAGAAGCAGGAGCTGATGGAGCCCAGGACTGTGCCATCCATAGGGGCACCCAGCGGGGCCTCGGCACTCGGCTTTGGTGGTTGGGGGGACAGGATCCTCAGGTGGCCTTCTGGGAGGCTGTGGGGTGTTGATGCTTCTTCTTGCTCCTTCCCTGACGGTACAGGACGAAGCTCGGATTCAGAAGGTGACCAAGCGTATGCACACCTTGGAGGAAGTCAGTAACAATGTCAAACTGCTCCATGAGATGCTGCTTCACTACAGCAAAGAGGATTCTTCCGAGGCCGACAAGGAGCTCATGCAGGTGGGCCTGCGCGCCTGGGACCCATTCCCTTACTGCATAGCAGACAGACTCTGATGGAGGCCTCCGTGCTTAACATGAGAGGTCACGTCAGGCCACCAAAGTGCTCTGTGGTCACAGGTCCAAGGGTGTGCTTGGGGTGCAGTGTGGTTGGAGCTGATGAGCTCCCCCAGGGCTGAACGTGAGGCTCAGAGGCCTGACTCCCTGGGACAGGAACACTGAATGAGCTGACCGTAAAGGGCCTTTGTCTTTCTGACTTTTAGATCTGGTCTCTTTCAGGAACTGTTTGATCGGTGTGAGAACAAGAGACGGACATTATTCAAACTAGCCAGCGAGACAGAGGACAATGACAACAGCTTGGGTGAGTAACAGGAAAAAGTGGTGGGGGGAAAGATAGCCCAGGAATCTAGATTTTGGGGTGAGGGGGATGGAGGAGCCTGGTGGCACAGTGGTTAAGTGCTGTATGCTAATCAAAGGTTGGCCGTTTGAACCTACCTGCCACTTCACAGGAACACGCTGTGACAGATCCGATTCTATACAGAGGCTTGATCAAAAAGAGGGAGAAAGAGTAGAATTTCAAATTGTCACAGAATTTCTAGAGCCGTGGAGATTGGCTGAACCCCTAAAACTATTTTCCCCGATAGAATCTCTGAACCTTGAATGAAAAATATTCCCTAGAGTCGAATGGAAACCCACGAATGTTTAGCTGCACTAGTTAAGAATGTCTGCTTTAAGCGTCAAATGGGCATAGCCACTGAATGATCAGACGGTTACTAAGGGGCAGTGAATTTATGTTTGTGGGGAGGAAGAGTTTGGAAAAGAAGAGTGAGAATGGATTCAAAGAATGTAATCACCGTTCACTGAACGTAGATCAACAAAATAAGTCACTTTTTAAAAAGAGCACAGCCTCGGAAGCCCTGTGGGACAGTTCTGCTCTGCCCTCTAGAGGTCATTGGTACCTACCAGGTTCAGTCAGGAGAGAAGGTTCTTTCTGTTTGGCTCTAGGGGACATCTTACAGGCCAGTGACAACCTCTCCCGGGTCATCAACTCTTACAAAGCAATTATTGAAGGGCAGATCACCAATGGGGAGGTGTCCACGTCAGCCTCACTTGACCCAGAAGGTAAAATCTTATGCCTCCCTGTTCTGGGACCCCTCCAGAACCACCTCAGCTTCCCCCTCAGAGCCACTAGTGCAAGCTGACTAGTATCATTATCACCCAGGGGGAGGCCAGATATGGAGGACTTGTCCCACCTGCTTGCCTTTCCCAGCCGGCTTTCAGCATCCCGGCAGCATCAGCACCGCTGGGGTGTGCTCAGGGCTCTGCCTCCAGCTGCCCAGTCACGGTCCCTTATTCTTCCTGTCTCTCCTCCATTGGCCATCCAGGAAACCACCCCTGCAGCAGCCAGGGCACACTCATCGACCTGGCCGAGTCGGACACCCCTAGCAGCTCATCCCCAGTGTTGGCCCCCGCTCCACCCACATCGGGCATCCCTATCCTCCCACCTCCCCCCCAGACCGCAGGCCCTTTACGCAGCCGCTCGTCCAGCCAGGCCGAGGCTTCTCCCGGACCCTGCAGCTCCAGCAGTGCCCTCTCTCTGCTAGATGAGGAACTGCTCTGCTTGGGTAAGGTTGCCTCAGGGGCCTGCAGTGTTGGGAGGGGGCTTCTGATGCAGGGGCTGGAAGCTGCATAGCCCGTGCTCTGTCCCCACTTCTCCCTGGTGTCCCTCATCTCAGTGGAAGGACATCACTGTTTCCATCTGTCTCAGGCCTCACTGACCCGCCCCCCAGTGCTCCCCCTAAAGACACAGCCGGAACCAGCCAGTGGCACCTCTTCCAGGTAGGGGCAGTGGGACCTTGATTCTCCCTTTGCTGTGACTCCGTGTTGGGCTATGCCCCGCGGTGTGCCCCCTGGAGGGGGGGTTGCTCCTGAATGTGCTGTCATTTTGGGCACAGCTTTGGGGCCCCAGAGGAGGGCCAGTGGACCTATGTTCACTTACCCTTTTCTACTCTCCACAGAACGAACAGCCAGAGCTGGGCTTCTTCAGTCCCAAGCTGGGCCCTGCAGCAAGCTGCTCCACAGACAGCCCTCCCCTCCCACCACCTGCAGCCCCACCCACTAGCAGCTCCCCAGGGCCTCTATTCCCAGCTCCTGTGGTCCCGGCCAGCGCTCATGCCCCTACTCCAAGCTCCTTGTTTCCCACTGGACTAGCCACAGCACTGGGCCCCAGGGTCCAGCTAGCAGCCCCCAGTTACCATGGCTCGGCCCTGGGTGACAACGCCCTGCACCAACTGGATGCACTGGATCCGCTGCTGGAGGCCAAAGTGTAATGCGGGGAAGCACTGGGCGGGGCCAGGGCAGGGCAGCTACAACCTGCTTTCCAATGTGGCTACCTTGTCCTTCCTAGGGCCTCAGGCCTCATGAAGCCTGCCGCATCCAGCTTCTTCTGTGCAGCTGGACCTGCCCCTCTCCTTCCGGCCACTGCCTCCGCCAGGCCGCTCTTCTCCTTCCCTGCTGGGTCCGGCAGCCCCCCAAAGGGGCCTGAGGTCTCCCTGGCCAGTGTCCACGTCCCCTTGGAATCTATCAAGCCTAGTAGGTGCTGGCGGGCGGGTGGAGCCCAGTTGGGGTTTAAGGAATAGGAGGGTATTAGTCCTCTTTTCAAGGAGCTCTGGTAGCATAGTGGTTACGAATCAGGCTGTGAGCCTCAAGGTCAGCAGTTCGAAACTACCAGCTGTTCCGCTGGAGAAATGATGAGGCTTTCTGCTCCTGTAAAGATTTCCAGCCTTGGAAACCCTGTGCAGGGTCTCTATGAGTCAGAACCAACTCCACGGCACATAACAAGTCCTCTTTTCAGGGGTCTCCTCATGTCACTCGGGGTCTTCCAGCAGCACTTTGCTGTGATGCTCACCAGCCCGAGTTCCCGAGTCTTCTCCTCCACGCCCACATGCCATCTTCTTGCAGGCAGTGCCCTTCCCGTGACAGCCTATGATAAGAATGGCTTCCGCATCCTCTTTCACTTTGCCAAGGAGTGTCCTCCAGGGCGGCCTGACGTGCTGGTGGTGGTGGTGTCCATGCTGAATACTGCCCCCCTGCCCATCAGAAGCATTGTGCTCCAGGCCGCTGTGCCCAAGGTACCACCCCACCCCCAGCCAGCAGAGGACAGGCAGTGTGTGTGGCTATCATCGTGGCCACTGCCAGTTCTCATCACAGGCACGTCTCCACCTTTTAGTCCATGAAGGTGAAGTTGCAGCCACCCTCGGGGACAGAACTCTCTCCCTTCAGCCCCATCCAGCCCCCTGCAGCCATCACCCAGGTCATGCTGCTGGCCAATCCACTGAAGGTGAGCCCAGCTGAGGGGAGGACCTGGCCCTGCCATGCCCTCCAGCCCCCACCCCTGAGGTGGGGGCCAATGGCCGTCCATCTAACGGAGAGGGTATGAGGAGAGCAGTCGGTGAGAGCGGCCTCACGGGCACCCTCTGTTACAGGAGAAGGTGCGGCTTCGCTACAGGCTGACCTTCACCTTGGGGGAGCAGCAGAGCACAGAGGTAGGCGAGGTGGACCAGTTTCCTCCTGTGGAGCAGTGGGGCAGCCTATGACCCCGGAGGCCACTGGCACTTCCCCTGGAACCTTCAGCTGCGCGAGCTGGCCAGTGCCGGGCGCAGAGCCTGTGTCCTGCCTGCCATCCTGTAGCTTTGATGTGGAACGGGGACCCTGGTGCCACACTGTGTCTGTCACTGTCTCCTTCTGTGGCCCCTAAGAGGACCTGTTTTTATTTACCTGTGTGACTTGAAGTGGCCATAGATTATCACGGGTGGGAAGTGGGTCCTGACCCGAGGTTTTGAGGTTTCCCTTCCCCTTTTTACTATCATCTCCAGATGCTATGGGACCCCCTCAGAATTCCATCCTCACCCCATCACTGTTCTGGGCTCCCCATATCCTGGCTGGTGTTCCCTGCAGGCAGGCTCCTGCCCCACCAGTAGGGGGGCTGAGTCATGTGGCCCGTGCTGGGCCCTGGCGTGCTACAGAATTACCATACCTGCTGTCCAGTGTTGTCCTAGAACCACAAGTGGTGGACACTTGTATCGTGGTGGCCATCTCAGCTGGGATCGGAACTCAGCCTTGAGGCCTACGCCAGGGCAGAGAAACGCTAGTGGTCCCCGTCCCCTTCTTTGGGAGCACTTGCTCAGCTTTCTGAGCGGAGTGTGTCCTGCTCAGGGCCAGGCCGCCCTACTCACTCACTACCTCTTGCTTGGCATGAAATAGCCTGCTGGCTGCCCCTCAGTCGGGAGGACCGCCCTGGTTGGTGTAGCACCTGCAGCTACACCCAGGGTCTTGGGCTCAGGCCCAGTGCACTTGACTTAGTCCTTTCGTCCTACCCAGAGGGTCCCCTTCAAATGCCCCATCTCCTCTAGCTCCTAAAACTGTTGCTAAAGGCACTGTCAGCGAGATGCTGGGTCTGCAGGGGACTTGGGGGTGGGGGGGGGGACGGGGCAGACCCTATTGCTTCAACAGTGCTCAGACCCTCTCTCCCACCACCACCTCCCTGATGAATGCAGTTCTGGGTGGGCTAGTGGTACCCGGCTCAACAACAAGCCCACCGGAATCTCATGCCGATAGGCTGGGGAAGAGCAAGGCTTACGTGAGCTCAGCTGGAGCCAGAGCCTTCGGACAGCTCTGGGGACAGGTGGTGGAAGCTAGTCCCTGGTCCCTCCTTCCCAGGCTGCCTTATCCTGTATTCAGAGGTCCTCTAACACTCCCTCCGCCGTCTTCAGCAAGCAGTTTCACAGCTTTGTTAGGACAGGAGCTTTTTGGAGGACTGCACGGTGGTCATCACCAGATGGTTCATGAGTCCCTCGTGAACTGTCAAGGTCACTGCTTTGTGGCAAACAGCTGGACTGGAGATACCAACTCTGCTGCCTTTGTTTTGCTGCATGTTAAATAAAATCATCTTCCCCCAACTTGGAATCCTTCTACTGTGGGGTATACCACCCACCCTGGGGGAGGAGGGACATATACCTATGATTTCCAGAGGTAGGAATGTGGGTACGCCCTGCAGGATGCCTCAGAGTTTTTGTTAAAAAGTATAGGGTCCTTGGATCTTTTTCCAAAGAAATACTAGAGACTTTACAAGTATTCTAGATTCTGAGGTGAGGCCAGATTAGAAGAAACAGTAAACCAGCCAGGCCCTTGTTCAAGCTTCATATCACAAGCAAGTGGGCACAAACGTTGCCTTTCTTGGAGTGGTTCTTCTAAGGAGATGGGTAGGCAGTCAGCCCCATTCCTTTATCCTTTACTTTCAACTGCTTCAGTGTGGGTACAGACTATCTCCCTGACTGGACTCTTAACTTGCCTTGTATTTGCAAAACAAAATGTTTATTTTTCAAAAACCGTATATACATTGCCATACAGCGATAGATAGCATGCGGAGCAGCTCCAGCTGGCTTCAGGAACCTTCTAAGGAGCCTTCTTTGATGATTGCCCTGGCAAGATTCCGGGCAAGAGCCAGTCTCAGCATCTCCACCTTCGTGGCCTCTATGTCATCATCCTAGAAGCAAAGAACTAGTGTAAGGCCCAGCAGGAAGGCCGGGAAAGCTGACGTGGGGTCTGTAGTATTCAGCCCCTAGTGAGTTCTCAACAGAAGAGAAACTTAGGCAAAGGGCCATAGCAAATAGCTCAGATCTGCAGGATACAAGGGACAGCCCGTGTTCTGAAAGAAAGTGAGTCTGTTACAGTCTAAGAGTTTCTGGGAGGGAGTGGGAGCCTTTTTCCCACCCACCTGCGATGCCCAGACAGCTCAAGATTACCTGTGGTTCCTGGCCATTGGGCTCACCACATGCTGGCCTTCCAGCGGTCAGGTCCTCCAGACACCTCATCAGTGCATACGTTTGCTCTGCCGAGAAGATCACCTACAGGAGAGCAGTGGTGTGGCCATGGGCATGCTGGGCTCCCTCCCGACTCCTCCAGTCAGGACCTGGCTAATCCTTGTCAGTAATCAGCTGCAGCAGTTCAGGTGAGGTTGTGTTTGTGGCATGAACATTAGGTTTCCGGAGTGGGTGTTATGGAGGTAAACACACGTAGACATCTGAAACTGCTACAGCACTGAGCCCATGGAGGCCTGCAGCTCCTTACCTGTTTCTGTTCCAGAAGGGGCAGGGCATCTGTGAGCAGAATCATCCAGAAGGACCGGGGGGCAATCTGTGAAGTCATGAGTGACAGGAGGAGGGACGCGCCAGCAACAAAACGCTGTTCCCCATACAATCGGTGAAACTCACGGTACTTTCCTAAAACAGCATATACATATATATAAAACCCTTAAGTGGCCTCCAGGTGACACCCTACAAGTCACCTAACAGGAAGTGACAAAACTAGCCAACCCATAGAACGAGGTTCTTCCAGAGCTGTCTGCAAACCCACAAAGCAACCGGCTGCAGACGGCAGAGGCTCGGAGCCCACTGCGCAGGGCCCCTGGGAGAAGGCAGCAGCAGGGGCACACTGCTAGAGCGGACACCAGGAGGTGGAGGGAGAACTCGTCCTCACAGTGGACTAGGAGGTGCGACGTGAGTGAGCATACGATGAAGACAAGCTGGGGACATGCTCTGACGGCACCTCATGTCCTCAGGAAACCCAGGGGGAAATCTCCCTCCACAGGAGACAGCTGGTAGATTTCTCTTTGACCAGGGATCAAAACCAACACAGCCAACACTGGGGGCCCCCAAACACTGAGGGGAGCCAGTCTCCCTTGGTGACAGAGAACACAGACTCTGAACAGAATCATGAGTCAGCAAACCCCAAATGAGGGCATCAGCAAAACAGCTGGCCGGATACTTCTGAAATGTCATGCCTTATTAGTGTTTATGTGATAACATGAAATTCACCACCTGGATTGGGCCTTGACTGAGCCAAGTAATGCCACTGGATTAGCTCCACGGTACATTCTGGAGCATGACCGGTGGTGTGCTTTGTGAGAGAGCGTCCTGGTTCTCAGGAAGATAGACTGACAGAATAATTGCGGCAAAAACAATCACTTGCTGATTGTGAGTAAAATACACATAAGAACCCATAACACCCACAGCATATATGGGAGGAGTTCCTTATTACATACACTAATTTTACAGGGTTTCTGTAAATTTGAAATTACTGGAAAACAAAATGCTACAAGACTCTGGCATACAGGATTTGAGTGGCTTGGAGGAAATACTGCAGGACCATCTGAAAGGTGTCTTCAAACCTTCATAACTATGCATTAGTGCCCACCACCCAGAACCCGGAGCAACTCACCCAGGAACGTCAGCCGATCGCTGAGCATCATAGCTGGCCCCAGGTTGTCGATGAGATCCAAATCGGAGAAGCAACCTCGCTCACAGTAATCCATGAGGAACCTGCAGAGCCCAGCCCAGGTGAGAGTGCAGCAACAGGCACAGGTCCATCAGCCACCCCAGATTCCTGGCACCGGCAAACCCACCTATCTGATACCAGTGTGGCAAAGGCAGCGTCTTTGGCTCGGATGCTCCAGGAGAGGGCAGAGCCCAGGCGATTGTTGCGAACTGCTTTCATGGCCAAGATCTTACAGATGCCGCGCACTTTGCCAAGAAGAAAGAAGGTGAGTTCACCCTCCACAGCCTCGCCACGATCCAGGCCCCGTGTACTACATAGACAGCCTGGCTGGCAGGATCGGACACTCGGGTTTAGGAGTTGTCTCTCGCCTCTGCCCCAAAGGACTGGCTATGTGAGGGTTTTTTCCTTTGGGTCCTGACAGCCAGATGCTCTCAGAGTGCTTGAACCTGTGGGCAGAGCATCTCGAGCACTATGTACACTCCCTGGAGCCCCCAAGTGGGGACAGGCATCTGCAGAGCAGGCCCCAGAGTGAAATGAGAGTAAGGGGGAATGTGCTCAGTTTGTCTAGGTCCCAGTGGGCCCTAGCTCTGTATCCCCAACAAGAAGTCCCCGGTGTCTGGGTCTTCCTTTCAGCACCTGCTGCCTGGCTAGCAGCTTGGGTTCCCCGACTCCCACACCTGGTAGAGGGGCTGCTCACCTTGCTCCGTCATCTGCCGCTGCTCACAGATACGCAGCACCTTGAGTGCCTTCTGCTCCGTGTGGAGAGGGATCCGCTCAATATGTAGCTCCAAGGAGACTCTGCCTAGCTCAGGACAGTGGTCGAAGTAATCCACCCCCAACTGCCACAGGCTGCAAAGGCCAAGGACAGACCTGAGGGACCGGCCCGTTTGGCAGCCTTCAGAGGCCTCCAAGTCTCCAATGGCACTAAAATGGCCAAGAGGGCCCAGTCTCCCTCCCTGTCTCCCCACGCCCACCTGTGATGAGCAAACAGTCCCGAGGCATATTCCAGCAGCAGGAACTCCCTCATGTTGGATCCAAAACTGGAAAGAAATGTAACAGGAGACTGAGGCCACCAGCCTTCTGCTCACCTCACTGTTAAGGGCCCTGGTGGTGAGAGATGGGAGGAGGCTGGGTGTTCCCTGCCCACTTACTAGAGGCTGTGAGACTGAAGCAGTTGGCAGTGGTCCAGCAGGTCAGTCAGATGGGCCACAAACCACCAGTTACTCAAGGCAATGCTGCGGGTCAGACATAGCAAGAAGGTAGAAGTCGGAGGGGACCCCCACACGTGAGGAGGGAGTAACTGGGTGAAAGGAAATGTTGTCCCGGACTCCTGGGACAGTTGCTACAATCCAGATGCCTCACTGACATTTTTGGCAAAACAGCAAGCAGACCACAGGGAATCCCAGGCTCTAGGAGCCTAGTGTCCTTGAGCAGGCGACCGAGAAGTCCCAAGCCACACAGACATGCCACCCACACACAGACCCAAAGTCACCACAGCTCCAGGGGTCTCCCTGAGAACAGCCTGTATCGAGGGACAGGCTGTGTGCCCCTGGAGGCAGAGTACAGACACAGGTACGCGCTCTCACCGCCAGCCCGGGCAGCAGGGGGCAGGGTGGAACCGAAGTGGCCTCTGCAGGAAACCCAGGGAGACGTGCGGAGCCTGACCCGCTGCTAGGAGGCCCAGAACCTGCACGACTCAACTGCTCACACCCTGTGCCCCATCTGCTGGCCACGCACCTGCTCTTCTGCCGAGGAGGCATGAACTGCAAACGTCAGTAGCTAAGGTTACAGACTCAATTAGGTAAAGCATGTCACTGGAGTCTACTTGTTTGAAGGGAGACCTGTTTCCTCCGAGTCTGGTCACTTTCAATGACTTGAAGGCCACCAGAGCTATGTGCTGTGTCTCTGGATCTGGACAGTAAGCACGGCTAACCGTGCTGAAAGGCAAACATACCCGTCAGCAGGGCCGACTGACTGGCCACCCATGCCTGTCAGCTTCGCTTCAGGGCCCTTGGTTTGTCCCCATAGGGCTGGTAGAATTGACACGGGGGTGATCAGGACCCCTTGGAGAAACCTCCCTTCTAGAATGATTCACCTCTTGCACCTTTCACAGGGCAGATTCCTGAGCCCAGTGAACATCAGACCCAAACGGCAAGGCTTCCCCTACAAACCAGCCCAGGGGTCCAACCCCAGCCACCGGCTCCCTGCAGCCTTCTGGAACAGTGCCCAAATTGGACTGACTGGTACAATCCTGAGAACATCAGTGCTCACATAACCCCAATGTCAATCCTTCACCACGCAAAAGGGCACGGTCGGACACGCTCGGTCTCAGAGGACCATTCTGGCCTTTTTGAATCCCTGGGAAGGAATCTGAGGATCCATGTTTCTACCTCCTCCCAAAGGGGCTACAGGTAGTTCCTGATGAAAAAATCCGTACCTTGCGATTCACAGCTAAAAACAGCTCAGCTGCTCCTGCCCCTCTGACTTGCACAAGAGTAACAGCCCTTCCTGTGGGACTCAGAAGCCAGTCCTCACTGGCTCAGTGCCATCTTTTCCTTCTCATCTTTGACAACTACGGGTGAGGTTCCCTCAAAGTTCCTCTGTCTGCTAGTTCTACTCAAGTCTGTTTTGTCCCTAAAAATCCAGATGTGGCTAACAAAGGGCATCCTGGTGTAAGCAGCCGAGCTACCGAGTGTATTCAGGAATAGCAACTACACAGCACTCCAGGCAGAGCCACCGGCAGAGCCAGGAGGCCTGGTGTTTCCCTGGCACGCTGTTCTCACCCAGGAGCCTACCTACACCACACCCCTGCCGCTGACTAGTTCATTGGCCTGTGAAAAGAATAGTGACACAAAACTCCCTTTTCTTTGCTCAAATCAACTTTTTCTGGTCAAATCAGGAAGAGCAGGAGGCACAGGGGAGCCAGAAGGACTAAAACCAATGCAGCTGGGGTCAGTGAACCGCTTCTTCCACCTCAGGTGCCCACTCATCCAAGCTGCACACAAAGGAGTGAATTCTGTCGCACTAAACGTGTCTGAAAAGCTTTCCTGTTGATGACGTTGGACCCTGCCTGGGGCTTTAAAACTTTTTAGGCCAGAGCACCCGCCTCTGAAAATACCCACCACTAATGAGTCTAATTATCAGGAGATGATGTTCCCTAAGGTGGTTGTGTGTCCCCTAATTCCCACGAAATAGGCCTGCTTGCTTTTCCTAGATTTATATAAACCAAAGTCAATTCCTATACCATGATTTTAAAACAGCTTTCCTGACATGTTATAAATACATCAACTCTCTTAAGTCTTGGGAGCCAGAGAGTCCAGAGAGGAGCCACCACCTGCCTCCACTGGGCTGGGCAGCAAAGCTGGGCTGCAAGAGAAAGGATGCAACACCAGAACAGGGGGCAGGGGTCCTACCTGCACTCCTTGATCACTTGGTGAATGTCAAACTCAAAGGCTGCCATCAGGATGTTGTCCAGGGGCTCTGGGCTGCTCTCCCCTCCCAGAAACAGGTCCAGGCTGGACTGTGGAAAGTGACGGCCTGCTCAGTCCCCAGGCCGGAAGGAGAGACTCCAGGGGGCAGGCAGGGCGGCTGTGGAGGGACCCTGGAGAAGCGTGATGCGTTCTTCATAAAGGGCCCAGGAAAGCCCTCCGTGAAGAATGGCCGGCAGGGGACCGAGCCTCCACCACACCTCCAGCGAAGCTCAGACTCACCTGTGCATAGAAGTGCAGCTCAGTGGGCTTCACCGTGGGATGCGAGTATAGCAGTCGAGTCACCAGGAAATGGTACCAGTTACTCAGCAGTTCCTTCTGCTCCAACAAGACCTCTTCATCTCCCAGCAGGATCTGAGGGAGTTTGCCCCTTAGCACCAGGGGGAGCGGAGCTGAGCTCCAGCCTCTTCTCAGGGGGACTTCTTTCCCCTTCCTCCTTTAGTGTGGCCAGCAGGCAGGCCAGAGTCGAGTTCCGCCCCTGTACCTTGCAGAGCGTGTCCAGCCGGGGGCTGGAGGCAAAGGTGCCTTCCTGCAGGTGCCGCCCACACTCCTCATGCCAGTGCTGCCACTTCAGCTCCAGCTCCGTCCGCGTCTGCGTGTTTCCTGGCTAGAGGGGGGACAGGCCGGGGACGTCAAGGACACCTCCATGCCTCCTGGAGACCCTGTGCCCGGGACCACTTACGCTGAGAATGGGCATTGTCCTCATCAGGTCCCCCAGCACTCTACACATGCCCGCTGAGGCGGGGTTGGCATCGGCCTCCTTGGAGAGCATCTGGCGGGCCTCATCCAGCCGGCCCTGCAGTACCAAGATGGTCACCTAGGAAGATTCCGAGAGCACGCACAGTCAGAGGGCACACTGTGACTTTCTGACTCCTCCACAGACCCCATCACCTGACAACCACCTCGTGCTCATTCACATTCAGCTCTGTTCCCGCCCCACTCAGATGGCCTCGGGTCTTCACTCCCTTAGACCCATGGGGACAGTCTCTGGACCATTACTCTCCTTGCATGGTAACTGGCTCCACAGTAACCCTCAGACTGCCCCAGAGTGTGAGGGCCACAGACATCGGGGTTGGGGGGAGGCAGTCAGCTTACCAAGTTCCAGAAGCTCTTGTGTTTGCTTGGATTCTCACTGCCCAGAACATCTGCTGACAAACTGTCCACCTCACACACATGCAAACGGACCCAGTCAAGGAGGTGAAGAAGGAGAGGGCCAGCTAGCAGGAGAGACACTTGTCACCCATTACCACCTCAGTTTGGTTTACGGCAAATCCCACTCTTCATATCATAGACAGAGGCGGGGCAGAGGCCCTGCGTCAAGGACTCTCCCTCTGTGGTGGACAGCCCCGCCTCACTGAACATGGAGACCCAGGCTCCACACTGCCAGCGCTCTCACTAGAACATGCAGTACATGATGGCCAGGGGCCAGGTCTGTGACAGGAAGGACACACAGTGACAGCCCTCCAAACCACTGGGGAAGGCAGGCACACTAACTCCTCATTTGTTTTTACAGCAGCACATGCGTTTTTCATCTCACAGTTCCACGAGGACAGGAATCTGAAGCTTGGCTCAACCTGGTCTAACAACTAATTTTAATTCAAATTGTTCAATGAATGCTTTAGCAGGAAGTAGACTCAAATACTACAGTTACGCAGCAATGAACACACATCTGTGGACAACAGCCAACATACGTCATTCAAAGAAACACAAAGATGCCAGAGCACCTCCCAAGAGAGCTGACTGAGGTACGGTACCAGCTGCAACACAGCTCACCATCCTGGAATGACCCAAGTGGACAGGCACCAGCAACAGCGTGCTCTAGGCCACCCACTCCCTCACCCCAACTGACCCCTCCTCACATCCCTAAAACATTCTGAACTTAGACCATCCACCACACAACACTGCCACCCCCTTCACACACTGGTGTGATGTCTGGGCCCTGGATGCTTTTTAGAGGTGCTGGGATTAGCCCATTAAACTTCCAGAAGGCATACACTCTGATTCTTTGTGCAGAATTGGGAGTAAATGCAAGGTTTTTTTTTAAGGTGTTTAGTACTGTTTTCTGATAGTTCTGTTGATGAAAATCGCTGGAAAGGGCACACTACCCATCAATACACCCATCACGATCTCCAGGAGACAAAGGAAAGAGCAAAGGGCGGCCCGTGATGTGACAGAGTTACTTTATGCTCACCTGGGGCAACTTCAATAAAAAGTATCTCACAGAGATTCCAAATGAGCTCCATCGCTGACAAGATGGAGACCTGCGAGAGAACCAGAGACAAGGTTTCCATCAGAAAAAAGTCCTGAACTTTGCCCTCAGAGCAAAGGCACAAAGCAGGGCTCTGTTGCCATGAGAGCCAGTCACTAATCGAGCTCCAGTGGGGCTTCTGACAAGACAGTGGGGGGCGGGATGCAGGTGGTGGGCCGCAGACTCAAATCTTGGTGTGGCGCTGTAGGATAAGCACTGGACTGCTAACCACAAAGTCAGTGGTTTAAACCCACCAGCTGCTCCCCAGAAACCCTATATATAGGATCACTGTGAGTCGGAACCGACTCAATGGCATCTAACAATAAATAATTTTATGGTATATTCAAAGACTATAACTAGTACATCATACCGATTTAATAGGATGATTATTATAGTTTAGAAAGAGGCTTTAATTGAGTAAAATGGGAGAAATTTTTTTATCAGGAACTTGGAGATACAGTATAAAGCATGTAGTTAGTATTCAAAGAACTGAAGTTCACAAAACAATCTAAGAAAGACAAAGTCTAACACAAATCCCAAAGAAACCAGAGCTGCACCCTGCCCTCAGCAGCACGCAGCTCCCCACCTGAGTCTTGGGGGGCGGGGGAGAGTGTCAATGCTTTGCTGATTTCAGAGACAGTATATTCACTATTAAGTTTGAAAAACATCTTTTACTCCACTCCCCCCAAAATAATTTGATAAGTCATCTGGTTCTACATAAGGTACAGCAAGTTACAGCTGAGCACGACTGTTGACTTCAGACAGTTTATGAGACTCAGCAGTGGCTCCAACGCCGTTCTCCCTCTCAGGAGACAGCTGCCATCACCATAGAATGTGCATGTTTGGGTTTGAGGTTTTCTACAAATGAAAACTCAGACAAGGCTTCACCAAGCACGTTTTTGTCCTGCAATGTGCCAGGTCTTCAGCACCTGGAAGTTGCAGGCAATCCCCACCACCCCAAGGAGCTGTCTACCTGGAGAGACAGGCTTCTGCCCATCATGGTGATGACAAAGCCACCTAAGCAAGTGGTGCTCTCCACTTACCTGGCTGCTGAACTGGTGTCCACTGGCTGGCTCTTTAGCGGCAACTAACAAAACACAACACATTGCGAGTGAGTAATGACCCCCAACCTTGTTTTTGTCATTTCATAGTCCCAGACTTTAGGGTCTGCCTTTTAATGACACTTGTTTCCACCCTGGGCCAGTTTTTGGGTTAGTTTCTTTAATGCTTTATACTCTTTGATCAGTGATTCCCAAATCAAAACCCTCAGGTTAAAAGCCAGCATTCTGAACCGCAGGCCAGTAGGCTTGAAGGCACCCGATGCGGCACCCCATCCCGCTATTCTAGACTCTGCCAGAGTCTGGGGATCAGAGCTTCTAATGGATGTGATGACCCAACCCACCAGGGTCACGGCCTGGGAATGCAGTATCTGAAGCCATGCTTTATGCAACCTCATACCTTCCAAACGAATCGATTCAACGTGCACTAACTGGAAAACTGTACTAAGATGACTGCCAAAAGGCCAAGGCAAAGAGTCACTGGGTAGTGGACACAGTGAACACGCTCAGCAACTAACAAAAGGACTGGACGACTGAGTCCACCCTGAGGTTCCTCCTAGAAAAGGCCTGGCCATTGAGAACCTCAAGGAGGACAATTCTACTCTGGGACACACATGTGGGGCTGCCATGAGTCAGAGTCAACTTGATAGGCTTTTTTTTGGGGGGGTTGTACTTTTTTAATGAGAAATAAGAATTTTGTATAGAAGTCAATCAGATTAACCTTATGATATTTATAACCAGATACATCCCCAAAAAAGAACTTCAAATTCCGATTTCACATACAAAAAATAAAATGATACAGATGATCATTTTCAATTAGCTACATATGAATTTTTAAACACAAATCTTTAATCACACACACAGCCAATAACCCCTTACTTGCTGCCTGATGCATCTCTTCCATACACGCTCTTATGACCGATCGGTAGTTTTTACTCACTCGAACCAATCTGCAAAAAATGAAATGACATTCAAGATGGGCCTGAAATATCTCATAGTACCAGGAAGCTACAAGTGCACACAAAAAAGATAGGAGCTCAGAGAACACAGGGACCAACCGGAGAGCTCCAAATGGCCAAAGCTGCAACAATGTGATAAACAAAGTAAATAAAAGCAGATTTAGTGCTGGACTGTTAACCATAAGGTCAGGGTTCAAAACCACCAGTCACTCCATGGGGGAAAGATGACACTGTCTGCTCCCATAAAGACTTACAGTCTCAGAAAACTCTAAGGAGCAGTTCTACTATCCTATGGGGTCACTATGAATCGGAACCAACTTGATGGCAGTGGGTTGATATTGACCTAAATAGAGAGTAGCTGAATAAATGAATGATGAGAAGAAACAGCTCTTCCTTGGAGTAGAATTATAATTAATAAATGTAAGAGTAAAGAGAAGCAGAAACTCTCCATAAGCAAATACCATCGTAACTACCACTGCAGATAAGATCCATAGGTGGACACCAGAGTCTGTGGGTGAAAATTTGAGAAGTAAGATTTGCGTAGTCTGAAAGTATCTAGCCCAAGATGCTAACGATGGGAAAGGTGGTACCTGACAGCCAAGAGGCCCAGCATAAACCACCTGAACTTGTGGTCAACCTCACTGAGAAGGACAAACTAAGCTTCTGGTCTCTTGCCAGAGAAGACCGTGAAAATAATTCTCCAAAGACAAACGGAATTGTCATTTTTACGTTCATTTCCAAATCTCCCAACCAGAAACCACAACCAAAGGGACTGCCATAGACGCCACGCCCATTCAGAGCAGTCCTGCGCAGGGTCTCCAAGGCTGTACTTTTTTTTTTTAATGTTTTATTGTGAATTATGTGATAGTTTACATGGGAGAACATTAGTTTTACATTCATCCTGTCGTATATTGTTTCATTGCCATGGTTACAATCCTCTCCTTGCATCATCAACCAACCAAAGGGTATACCCTACAAGCCTGCCCCACCGGTCGTCAGCACACAGCCCCTCTCCCTCTCTGGGTCTAAAGTCCCCAGCTGCTCCATCTCTCCATGTCATCATCTCTGCCTCCCATCTCTGGCGTCACTGTTTCCCTGGGTAGGGTCCCGCTCTCCACTCTTCTCCCTATCCTAGACTACAAAGTTGATCACTCCCCTCCCCTCCTTGCTACAAAACATCTACCTTTAACATTTCCAACCCTCACAATCAGTCCTGATAACAATCATTCACTATTGTATCACAAGAGACCTATCTACATTTCATTTCATCAGCCCTGCCTAGACAGATTGGATACTACTTAGTGGAGATTCTACCTTCCTCCACACCTCTGAATCTAGGTCCCCTCTTGAAAGCTTGTAAGCCAGTCACTTCTTGCCTTTGTAGCCCCACCACTTTGGGTAGCCAATGTCCAAGTTGCTCATCCCTGTCTACTCTGTGTATGGAGGGGGTGGGAATGATCCTTGCTGTAAAGATTTGTTCCCTCTTTTGAGCTACTGCATCCATAGGTATAGGTCACGTTCATCAAATTGTATCAGATTACTCTTCTTTTTTCTTCTTCTAGTTGAGCTCTGATCATCCAGGCATTGAAGCCAGGTCAAGTGGGTATTATCTGCAAGTGTGGGTGTTTTTGTGCATATGCCCTCTCTTCTTATCAGCTGGACACTTCACTCTTCACTATAGTCCTCTGTGACTATTTCAATGACTCTGGGCCGAAGAGTCCCCAGGTCTTGCTATACTGCTGGCCAACCAGGTCTCTACCCGGGTTCACAGGAGTCTATTAAATGTTTTAGGGCTTAGCTCGCAGATTCATTGCTGTTTTTCTCTCACTTCCCCTTATCGGTGACGAACAGTGTGTATTCCCATTGAGGCTTAGTCTTGGACAGTGGTTTGCTCTGAGGGGACCTGACCACTTGCCTTGAGAGGCTGTACATCTATCTTTACAGGACCAGTGAGCCTCATCTTTTTCCCACAGAGTGCCTGGTGGTTTTGAACTGCCCATTTTGTTTATCCTACAGTGGGACCTTGTTCAATGATTCTCGGGTTCTCATTTGGCCTAATTTTCTTCCTCGAAGGGTAAATGAAGTGGGATTCTAAACAAAGATAGTCTAATAAGCTAGCAAGTCAATCAACAGCCATCCTCAATTATGAGACAGCCCCATTCCTAGTCACCTCCACTGCCCAGTGCTGAGGCCCCAAGTCAGACCCCAGGGGACTGACTTTTCTGGGCAGTCTGTCGACTGTGTTTTTCACAATCTCATCAAGAACACCAACAGCTCTCAGCAGCAGTCGACTTACTGAGCTTTTCGGGATTTGCTGGTCAATTCTTCTTCAATTCTCTGAAGGCCCACAAAGATTCCATGAGATTCATTGAAGAGTTTTCTCAAGATCTGAGAATAAACATCCACATCCTTCCGGAGGATATAGATAAAGGGGCAGCTTGGATCTGCCTCTGATTTTTCTGAAACAAAACAAGGAAAACATTACTGATCTATCACCACCAATTCCCCAAAAGCAACCCCCTCTAAAAACTGAAACTGAGTCATCTACTTTACAAAAGCTTTGGTCTAAGCAGGAACAATGTGAGCAACAAAACTTGTCACTGATTTCATCATTAATAAAACTTTAATGACAGGACTGATCATTTACCAACTATACACACATGTATTTTAAACAGAGCCATCTAGTCTCAGAGTTTACTCCCAACCAATAGTATATTCAGAGGTGAATTCTGGCCTCTACATTGAAATAAAACTGGAAAATACCAATCTATGTAAAGCCGAGAGCCACAATTTGATACAACCTCAGAGTCAGGTAAAAAATATCTTTAAAAGTATTTGTACTATCATGACCCCTAAAACAAAGGGTAAAGAACTGATCAAACTAGTTTTCAAGAGTAATGAAAAGGCTCAAGAATGATCAGTTATAGGGACTTACAGCAAGATGGCAGACAGGGAAGATGCACAACTCAGACCCTCTACAACAGAGATATGAGGGATCAAATGAAGCAGACAAAGATGAAAACACTGGAACCCTGAACTTCAGAGGAAAGGCTAGAGTGAGCACTTGCTGGGAGGAGAGGCTGAGCAGGGACAGCCAGAGGGAGACTGATACGGGAACAGTCTACCAGAAGCACTGCAGCCATCTTGTGAGCGGCTCTGGCAACAGATCCACACACGGAACGGGAAAGATGCGATTCTTTTTCTTTCACCATTCTTTCTTTCACACCTCTGATGACCACTCTCATCCACCTCCAGGAGTTGGAAGCCACGCCAGTGTGAGGTGGGAGCTGGCTGCTCCACTTTCGTGCCTGGATTCAGGCAGGATCCACTCTAGACCCACAGAACCCAGAGAGTCCCCAGCAGTTAACCAGTCACCCTGTCCCCAGCTGCCCGGTGGTCCTAAAAGACACTGAAACCAGTTCCACTGAGGGTCTCTGCAAACTGCTGCCAGCTTGAGTGTCCTGAAGATGGGTAAGCCCGAGGCCGACAGAGCCTTACTCCACCTAGGGCAGCAACTCTGCTTTCAACCACCCTTCCCACCCCCACCCCCGGAGAGCTCCAACAGCTGCACTGTGTTTTGTCTAGTTCTTTGTGGGTTTGGGTTTTTTCCTTTGTTGTTTTACTGTTTATTTTGGTTAAGTCTTCTTCCTCCATTTTCCATTACCTTAAATTTTAGCCTTTTTAGCTCCACTTTTGTTTTCCGGCTGTTTCTCATTTCCACTCTTCTTTCTCCCTCTACTTTTGATCCTTCTTTACTACACTTTACTCTCTTCATCTTTCCTCTCCAGGGGGCTTCTAAGATTTGTTTTTTTATCTTTCCTTTCTATTCTCTCTACTTTTCTATAGCTCCGTGCCAATACAGCCCAGCCACAACCATAACCTCTGCAGCTCCACCCACTGGGTAAGAGCTAATACCAGCTCCTCTACCATCTGATGAATGGTCCACAGCAACCAACACCAGCCATAGCTGCTCTAAACTGAGCTGCACCAACAGCAAATGAGAATGGTGTGCAGCTTCCATTCTCTAACTACACCCACAGGGACAGTTGGTGAGAGCTTGAGAACACATCACTATACTCATCAATTAAATACCAATAAGACAACTCCATAATGCCCCGGGGCACAGAAGAAACAAGAAAGAATGGTTCAAACCAATGACGAAGGCACAGAGCCAGAAAACGTTACTAAGGAAGACAAAGCAGTGAAGTAACTGAAAAAGAGTTCATAAAAGTGATATTTAGGAACCCCATAAGGGCTGACAGAAAGATTAAGGAAAGCAAAGAGAACACAGGAAAACCTTTAGAATAATTCAGGAAAACACTTCAAGAACAACCAAAATAAATGCAAATCTTAAAATACAAACCCTGCAATTAGAAATCCAGAAGATCATTACTAGATTTCAGAAATGTGTTAGGACCAAACTGATTTTACCTGATTTTGCCTACCTAGAAACTGCTTGATTAAACTCTAGTCAGGCTCAGGAAAGCCTTTTAAATAGACAAGGCCTCAGTTATTAGTTCCCTCCAGAGGCCAATCTCCATTCTGTACATTAGCCTGAACACGTACTCTAGCTCCAAGAATATGATATATGTATAAATAGCCAGGCAGCTCAAGGCCAGAGGCCAGATATTTTCCTTTACCCTAGCCTAAGAACAAAGACCACCAGTCCTGACCAATTAAACTGTAACATCTCATAGTTTGCCAATTGTTAACCAATCCAAAGATTGTAAAGCTGAGAAACCTGAGCTGTTTGAAAATTCTATAAAAACCCTGCAGACAGTGAATTCGGGGCTCTTTCCCTATTCCGAAATGTCGGATAAGGTTAGAGACCTGGCTCGATCTTGATTAAACAACCCTTATGTATTTGCATCGGTACACGGCTCCTGGGTGGTCTTTGGGGACCCTGAATTCTGGGCATAACAATGGACAATAGAGTAAAAAAGCAATGGTAGCCTGCATTAGGGAGCTGGAAGAGAGATCTCTCAATAGTAGCATGTCAGAACAACAATCAAGCAAAAGAATGAAAAAAAATCTGAAGAAAGCCTAAGAGTTACGTGGGACACCATGAAGAGAAATAACCTACTGGTGATCAGAATTCCAGAACAGGGAGACATAATAAAAAGCACAGACAAAATTGTTGATGAGTTGTTAGAAGAAAACTTCCCTAAAATCATAAAAGATGAGAAGATAAGCATACAAGAAGCTGAATGAACCCCAAACAGGATAGATCCCAAGAGACATCATAATCAAACCTCCCAAAACCAAAGACAAAGGAAGCAGCTTGGTCAAAATGAAAAGTTACCTGCAAAGGAGAACTAAACTCTATTTCTCAGCAGAAACCATGCAGGCAACAAGGCAATGGGATGACATATACAAAACTCTGGGGGGGAAGGGGGGGGGAAATGCCAACAAAGAATCATATATGCAGCAAAACTGTCCCTCAAACACAGCAGCTAAATTAGGACATTTCATGATAAACAGAAATTAAAGGAATCTGGAATTACCAAACCAACTTAAAAAAAAAAAATGCTAAAGGGTATTCTTTGGACTGAGAACCAACAGCCATACGCAACAACCTGAGACTGCCATACAGACTGCCACCTAGAACTCAATGCACATATTGTTGTTATGTGCCGTGGAGTCGGTTCCGACTCATAGCGACCCTGTACAGGGTTTCCGAGGCTGTAAATCTTTACGGGAGCAGAAAACCTTATCTTTCTCCCACAGAACAGCTGGTAGTTTCGAATTGCTGACCTTAAGATTTGCAGCCCGATTCACATAACCACTACGCTACCAGAGCTCCTTAATCCACATATAGAAGTATTTAAAGTAAAACAAACCAACAAGACTGAAAAGAGGGACCCAGAGATATCAATTTATAATAGAGTCAGCTACAAAGCAAAAAGAGGGAATGGTAGAGACACAGAACTTCCAAATGGGCAGGAAGTCAAGTCAAGACTGAATGGACTATTTCAAATAGGGAAAAAATAATTGCAGGGTAACCTCAAAGAAAATTAATACACCTGTACACCAAAATAAAAAATGAAAACCAGAAAGATTTAAAATTTTTTTAAAAGATTTAAACATTAATACAATAGAAATGAAGAAAGTGCAAAAACAAAATGAAATCAGCACACAAAATTATGCAAAAGAAAACCAGCAACACTACAAAAAAAGCACATAACAAAATGAGAGCAATCAATTCATACCTATCAATAATTACACTTACTGTAAACATATTAAACGAACCAGTCAAGAGAGAGAGTAGAATGAATAAAAACCCAGAAACCTTCAATATGCTGCCTACAAGAGACACATTAAAACAATGAAGACAGCCTACACGCCCATCAACAGAATGGTTAGTTGGTCCACACACACAATGGAATACTACGCAATGTTGAAGAGTAACAAAGAATCTGTGAAACACCTTACAACAAGCATACACCTGGAGGACATTAATGCTGAGTGAAATGAGTCAATCACAAAAGGATAAATATCACATGAGACTAATGTTGGAAAAAGTTAAGAAAAGGTTTTCTTAATAAAAGAAAGAAACCATTGGTAATGGTTATGGGGGGGAGGGAAAATATTTCATGGGCTAGAGGGTAGACACATGTTATCATGGATGACAGGGCAGGCATTATACAGTAAGGAGGAGGTTGGCAGAGGAAAGATGAAGGTGGTGGGAAACACAGAAAAGAAAGCAACAGTCAAAGTGAAGCAGTAAATAATGTTAGCTGCTGGTATAAGGCGGGGATTGCAATCACTAGAATACAGCAAAGTATGAGAGCTACTGAATGTGAAACTGATGATCTGCTCTGTAAACCTTCATTCAATTCACAATAAATGTTTAAATAAATGGCAAACAAAAAAAGAATGATCAATTATGAACCTCCAACTTGTGGAAATTACATTAAAAGCTTCTGGAATAGGCTTAATGGTTTTTATTGAACAAGAGTCATTAAATATAAACAAAATAAATAATACTTTGTGTTTTCAGTGATCTCTGACAATCTAGGAATGCTGGTGAGCTTTCCTATTAAATATGAAAAGGTAGATGCTCAGCAGACTCTCCTGAAAAACTGACCCTTTAACAGTCTACAAGTCTCCCAAACACTGCAGCTCCCACACCCACCTATCCCAGAAGGATTTAGCAACAGAAGATACAGTTCCTAACTAGAAAATGAAGAAAATCTACGGCTTTTAAAAAGTATATAAACTAAAGAAAATTCAAAATCATACAAAAAACAGAAAGAGAGAGAGAAGAGAGAGCTGACTGGTCCTGGTCAGAGAGAGACTGGAGGAACACCTGAGGCTATGGCTCTTAGTCATCCTCCAGGTCTGGACCTGAGCTCACCTCTGTGGTTCAATTCTCAGGCAAGCAATAGGCAGGCATAGAGCCAGGACAGTACCACTAGTGAGGTATGTACACAAAAGGATGGTCAACTGTGAGTCAAAAGGGCAGAAGTCAGAATGGCTGGCAAAGGAGGAGGAATGAAAACCAAACTTGGGGAGGAAGTGGGATAAGTGATGTTATACATTTAAGGGACTGCAATCAGTAAAATGAAACAACAACAACAACAACAAAAACAGAACACAAACTGCACACCATATAATTTGTCAAAATGATAAAACTTTCACTAGCTCAATCTGCTCCTTAAACACATGGAGGAAAACCTCCACAGGCTTTTAGGGAGGACAATCTCCTGTCATAGATTTGCCAGAAACTCTCATCAACATCTTCTGAGACTTCCCTCTTGAAATGAAGGAAGCACAATCGAAATTCAGCTTCTTCTCATTCCTAGCGGGTGCCTCTGTCGGCAAAAAGGACGGAGCTGTTTCATTCTCCGACCCCAGCTCTGTCTACTACTACGGACCCACTTGGCCTCTAGAGCTCTGCCTCAGTGGGGTTCCACTGTGGACATACGTCACGGCACAGGACCTGGAAACTGTCTCAGTTAAGAAGGCTGCAGTGAAAGGGATTGAGTCACTCAGGACAAGAGGAAAGCAAACACTTGATGGTTCTCCAGTATAAAGAATACCTAGCTTTAATACCAGGAAGACTACCAATATCTTTCCCCACCCCGCAGGACTTCACAAAAAGGGTTAAACAGTGAAGTTTTAAATCAACAAAAAAGGTTAAACAGTGAAGTTTTCACAAAATGACCATGGTACAAAATGAGTTCAGAATGTTTCATGCCTCAGCTACTCAAACCTGAGAGATTAAAGGGAAAAAAACAACTATATGTGCAAAGATGGATCATCCAGCAAGAAAAAAAACCACACTACCTTTTTTGTTGAAAGAGGTTTCACACACCAGCATCTCTCCTGGGCCCCAGTCAAAACACATTTGCTTCTTCTTGGAATTCACTCCTGGAATCCACTAGTAAATAAGACATAGAAGCTATTATTCTGGCTAACCGACACCACTGCTGCTGTCGCCTCTTCAACTCACAGCAACACTGAAGGGCCGAGGAGACCCGCCCCGGGTTATTAAAGCTATATATCTTTACAGACACAGACAGTCACAGCTGTCTCCCATAGAGGGTCTGGGAGGTTTAATCCGCAAACATTTGAGTTCGTATTCAAGGCCTTAATCACTGGGACACCTGCGCTGGGAAAAGGCTTTGCTTTTCAACTGATTTGTGAAGCTGATCTCAGAAACCAGCATCACGAAGGCTGTTAAGATCATCGATGTGTGCAGCTGTGAGTTGTTGCCATCAGCCCATCTGGAGGACGTCATCACAAAATCAGACCCACGGCCGTAGAGCTGATTCCAACTCATAGGGACCCTACAGAGCAGAGCAGACAGCCTCCACCTTTCTCCCACGAAGTGGCTGGTGGGTTTGAACTGGTGACCTGTGAATAGCAGCCCTGCACTTAACCCACTGTGCCACCTGAGCTCGTTTATATGGAGTGGGTTCCTATGCACGGTGATCCTGTAGTGTTTCCATGGAGTGGCTGGTGGGTTTGAACTGCTGCCCTTGTGTTTCGCAGTTCAGTGCTTATCCTACAGCGCCACACCACAGCTCCATTGTTGTTGTTGTTAAGTGCTGTAGATTCCAACCTATAGTGACCCTGCATAGGGTTTCCAATGAGCAACTGGTGAGCTTAAACCTTGCAGTTCAAACAGCTTTGCAGTCTGGTGCATTAACTCACAGCGCCACACCAGGACTCCATTAACACACAGCCCCTAAATTCACAAGCAAGCTTTGATGGGCTCCTCAACCCAGGCTACCCTCAGCAATTATTACACTGAGAGTCAATGAGCTGCCGTTCAGAAAAAAGAGACTTAATAATAGAAAAAGAACCAAATCGTTTGTTTGTTACCCACTAATAAAAGTGACATCCGGTCCAAGGCTTCTGGGACACCGCTACAATTTTCCTCTTGGGTTCAGATCATCCCATAGGCCTCAGTTTCACCGATCCACCCCCACTCCCGTCCACATTGCTATAGGTTATCTGCGAGGCATCTCACACTGTAAAAGGCCATGTTGTTCTTGTTGAGTGCTGTGGAGTCGGTTCCGACTCATAGCGACCCTGTGAAGAGTTTCCAAGGAGCGGCTGGTGGGTTTGAACCACCGACCTTGTGGTTAGGACTCTATGACGTATCCTGCAGCACCAAGTGGAAAGACACCACAAAGTTAATGCACTGGAGTTTAAAAACAGGCAAACTAATCTATGGTGACAAGTGTCAAAGTGATCGGGGTCAGAACTAACTTGGACAAAGGGCATGAAGGAATTGCCTGAGTGTCTAGGCTCCCAGAAAGTATAAGCATGCGGACATTATCACTTGCTGATAGAATGGTCAAGAGAAACCCAAAGCCTGAAGTTAGGCTCTACCAGAATAGACTATCAGGGCTGCCAAGGAAGCAAAAACCTTAACAAGTATCTAAAAAGACAGTAATGGCTGCTGCTAAGGCTCTCAGAAAGGCAGCACCTAAGGAGCTCTGGTAACGTAGTGGTTACGAATCGGGCTGCGAACCTTAAGGTCAGCAGTTCGTAACTACCAGCCGCTCCGCGGGAGAAAGATGAGGCTTTCTACTCCCGTAAGGATTTACACCCTCGGAAACCCTGTACAGGGTCGCTATGGGTCGGAACCGACTCAATAGGGCACTTAACAACAACAACAACAACAGTGAAACCTGTTAAGGAGCTCTGCTGGTGTAGTGGTGATGAATCGGGCTGCGAACCTTAAGGTCTGCAGTTCGAAACTACCAGCTGTTCCGCGGGAGAAAAATGAGGCTTTCTGCTCCCGTAAAGATTGACAGCCTCGGAAGCCCTGTGCAGGGTCGCTATGGGTCGGAACCAACTCGACGGCACAATAACAACAAACCGCAGGGCAGCGCTGCACAGCTAGCAAAGGTCAATCTCAGAGGGCTGCGATGTGGAGCCACTTTATCCGGTTGGGAGAAGCAAAAAAAAAAAAAAAAAACGCCCCACCCCTGCTTTAGTCCGAACCCCTTCTAATATCCTAGAGGAAAACCGTGGCGAAGCAAAAAGACTGAGAAGACAAGGGTGGAAGTGGGATGGAAGGAGCCTCTGGTGACAGGTTTCTGAGGGAACAAAGGAGCAGGAACCCAGCGATCACTGCGACGCGAACACCGGCACCTAGAGTTCACGTCGCGATCTACCGACCGTGGCAACTGAGCCACAAGGAGTTAGGCAAGTCTGCAGCGACGAAACAGACGCAGCCCTGGTGTAGTGAGGACATGCAATCCTATCTCCAGGGAGCCCTTACAGTGACTGTCGGCTCTCCATCCAGCTCCTCCATTACGCCGCAACTCAGCCGCCCAGAACGCGAAGAGCAGCTAACGCTCCAAGCTCAGGCCTCCCGCTCAGATCCGGGTTGAGAGAAAGGACCCCGCCTGAGCGTCTCCAATAGTGCCGGTCAGAATCAGCTACTAACGCTGCAGGAGCGCTTTTTCCAGCCTTGACAACTCTTGCAGCCCTCTCCACGTGTCCTCTCCATCCTGTCCCCGACAGCACTTCAGAGAAAAAGCGCCTGGTGCTGCCTACCGTCATGGTAACTACCCCGCCGGATCAGGCGCAGCCGCGGACAGTCCTGCGACGGTCGTGGAGAAGGCCCCTGGAGGCGGTGGGAACCACCTGCTGACCTCCGAGGAGGGCGACGGCGCGTGCGCGAACCGTGTCCCTGCGCTGAGCCCAGGATCTTCCCCAACGCTGCCTTTCCTTGCCCTCTTCAATCCTCCACCTTAGCGTTGTCGATTCACCTGGTGGGGTCCTGAGTAAGGGAATCCTATCCTCTCGTCTTGCCAATCTAACGAAAGCAGTCGCCACCACTCCCACCCCAAATACCGTACTGGCTCACGCACAAATTGATGAAGCTGAAATAACAGATTGAGACGGCTGGAGTGGCTTAATTAAACAACTGATTTTGTTATCTTTCCAAGGAAAACGAATACATACATACTGGTGGTGGTTGTTATGTGCCGTGGAGTCGGTTCTGACTCATAGCGACCCTGTACAGGGTTTCCGAGGCTGTAAATCTTTAGGGGAGCAGAAAACGTCATCTTTCTCCCGCAGAACAGCGGGTAGTTTCCAACTGCTGACCCTGAGGTTCGCAACCCGATTCGTAAGCACAACGATACAAGAACTCCAGTGGGTATGGCTATAACATAAGTAAAATTATGAATTCATGCCCATTTTCTAAGAGGTCTTATGTTCTCCAAAAGTAAAATAAACTTTCAGTTTCACAGAAATGGAATTTTTGAGACTAGTTATTTTATCGGTTTTGGTTATTCAAAAAAGTCTTGAAGCAGCAAAAGTTAAAAACAAGCTTAAGATTGATAGTTAGAAATCATACCTGAATTCCCTCAGAGAAAAGAGTGAGAGTGAAAGTACAAGAAAAGACCAGAACGAAAAGTCCTCTTCTCAACACAGAACCTCAGGGGAAAAAATCACTTGAATGAATGAGACAACAAAACTTGGAAACAGGTGCTATAGTTTCTTAATTGATATTTTAAGGCCAACAAAATGTCATTTGAGAAGGCATCAAAAACTTCACGTAAAAATGAAATGAAAAAATAATGGAATCTTTCCATGAATTTTTTTGAAGCGCCCTCATATAACAAGAATTGAAATTGTATGACCAACAACGAGAAAATATTGGGAAAAAATATTGGAAGTATTCTTTGGACTAAATGCAGCTATATGCCAGTAACTTTATACAACCATTTAACATACTCATTGTTGTTGTTGTTGTTAAGTGCCGTCGAGTCGGTTCCGACCCATAGCGACCCTGTACAGGGTTTCCGAGGGTGTAAATCTTTACGGGAGTAGAAAGCCTCATCTTTCTCCCGCGGAGCGGCTGGTAGTTTTGAACCGCTGACCTTAAGGTTCGCAGCCCGATTCGTAACCACTACGCTACCAGAGCTCCTTATAACATTAGCAGAAAGAAAAGAAAATTTTACAGTCAATAGAGCTGTGGAGTCGACTCCCCTCTGGTGGCAGCCTTATGTATAACAGAAGGAAACATCACCTGGTCCTGCACAGTGTTCACCATCCACGTTCCTTGGTGTGGCTATTTTGTCTCTCCATCTCATTGTTTCCTTAGTGTTTGCTTACTCGCTACCAAAAATGATATCCTCTTCCAGCAAATGGTCTTTGATTCATTGTTGGAAGTTTAGCAGCTCTTCTGGCCACTTCCCACTAGATGCCAATTGTGACAAGTAGAATCCTTCAACGATTCCCACATGTCACCTGGAGGACAAAAGAGTGCCTGTTGAGACCAAGTGGCATGGTTCAACCCTAGAGGAACCAATTGTTGTTGTTGTTGTTGTTGTTGTTAAGTGGCATCAAGTCAATTCCGACCCATAGCGACCCTATATAGGATTTCCAAGTAGCGACTGGTGAGCTTGAACCAGCAACCTTGAGATTCAAATGACTTTGCAGTCTGGCACATTAACCCACAGCGCCACACCAGGACTCCGCTAAGTAAATATAAATCAGATGAAATATTATTGTATTTAAAAGAACTACAAAGGTTGACAAAACACAGAAAAGTATTTCAAGAAAGCTTTAAAATGTTCACCTTTTTTTTTTTTTGTCACCATAATTACACTTTCAGGAAAAATCAAGAAGGACATTTTTGATAATCACACATAAAAATGGAAATAAATGTATCACACTTAAGGAAGGCTTACAATGTAATATTATGAAGTCATTAAAAGGTATTTTTAAATAAATATGTGTGATGGTTGATAGAATGTTTCAACTAGGCTGGGTCATGAGTCCCAGTATTAGCAGATGCATTTTGTGATCTGCTGTAGTTAGTCCCCGTTTTATGTCTTGCAAATCCTTACCTCTAAATATTAGTGAGGCGTTCTGGTGCGACACTGTAGGATAAGTACTAGACTGCTAACCACAAGGTTTGCGGTTCAAACCCATCAGCCACTTCTTGAACAGTATGAGTGGGAGTCAACTTGGTGGCATTTAACAACATCAGCATATTACTGAGGCAGGATTAGTGTGAGGTGTATCTTGAATCAGTCTTACAAGAGGGTATGACTCAAATTACACTCTTACTCAAGTCACGCTCTAATATAAAGGGAGTTTCCTTGAAGGTGGGACCAGCATCCAATATATATGGATACTCTGACAAGGCACTTGTTTGCCCTGGATTCCACATGTAAGCCATCATCATACGACCTTTGGTTCTTGGGACTTGATCTAGAAGGCTGTTGTCCGACCTGCTGATTCTGGGATTTTCTAGCTTCCCCAGCACTGTGAGCCAACAGCCTATCATCCTACCAGCTAACTGTGGTTCCTTAGCTCCTGCCACCATGTGAATCAGGAAATGCATCCAGCCTAAGACCTGACCCAGAGGTTTCTGACTTGCCAGCCTCCACAACCACACAGAACCATTTCCTTGAAACAAATATGTATGGTGTGGTGTCCTGATGTGGTTCTGTAGAACTGCTAGCCACAAGGTGGTTCAAACCCACGTGCTGCTGCTTGGAAATCATTTATAGGATTGCTATGTATGTTGTTGTTGTTAAGTGTCATTGATCAATTCTGACTTATAGCAACCCTGTACAGGCTTTCTGAGTAGCAACTGGTGGATTTGAACCACCAATTTTGCAGTGCTTATCCTACAGTGCCACACAAGAACTCCATATATATATACACCACCTGTCTGTAAACTTTTTATACTGTTGTGCCTTGCGTGTTGTTGTGATGTTGGAAGCTATGCCGCCAGTATTTTAAATAACAGCAGGGTTACCCATGGTGAACAAGTTTCAGCTGAGCTTCCAGACTAAAACTAAGAAAAAGAAGAGGAAGAGTACTTCCGAATGTTTAGCCACTGAAAACCTTATGGACAGCAACGGAACACTGTCAGCACCGGAAAGTTGAAGACTGAGACATGATAAAAAGCAGCAGAAACTTGTCAGATATAGTGCTAGAAGATGAGCCCCTCAGGTTGGAAGGCACTCAAAGTATGAATGGGGAAGAGCTACCTCCTCAAAGTAGAGTTGTCTGTGGTAATGTGAATGGAGCAAAGTCCCATGGACCTTCATTTGCTGATGGGGCACGACTCAAAATGAGGAGAAATGGCTGTAAACATCTATTAATAATCAGAACATAGGATTTACAAAGTATGACTCTAGGACAATTCAAAGTTGTCAAAAATGAAATGGAACGCATAAAGATCAATATTTTGTTTTGTACGTGTACTTCAAATGTTTTTGCCTTGCTGCTTTGTGAAAAATAAGATGTAAAGGGAAGCCACAGGGAAGAAGCAGGATCACTGTTGTTGCAGGGAGGGGAGTGTAATCAGTGAGATGAAACAAAGTGTATGATTGGTTGAAAGTAAAGCTGATGATCTTGTCTGTAAACCTTCACTCAATTCACAATAAAAACTTGAAGAAAATAAAAAGAACATTTCAAGATCTATCTTGAAGTATAATGCTGTCTGTGATAGGATAATATCTATAAGCCTACAAGGAAGACTAATTAATGCCACTATTATTCAAATTTATGCACCAACCACTAAAGCCAGTGATGATGAAATTGAAAAAATTTACTAACTTCTTCAGTCTGAAAATTGATCAAATATGCAATCAAAATGTATTGATAATTGCTGGTGATTAGAATGCAAAGGTTGGAGATCAAGAGGAAGGATCTGTAGTTAGAAAATATGGCTTTGGTGACAGAAGTGATTCTAGAGATTACATGATAGATTTGCAAGACCAATAACTTACTCATTGCAAATACCTTTTTTAAACAACATAAAAGACAACTATACACATGGACCTCATCAAATGGAATACATAGAAATCAAATTGACTACATCTGTGGGAAGAGATAGTGGAAACGCTCCATATCATGAGCCAAAACAAACCAGGGGAAGACTGTGGAACAGACCATCAATTGCTCATATGCAAATTCAGATTCAAGCTGAAGAAAATGAAAACAAGACCATGAGAGCCAAAATATGACCTTCTACATATCTCACCTGAATGTGGAGATCATTGTCGATGGCACCTGACAACAACAACAACATATCTCACCTGAATGTGGAGATCATTTCAAGAGTAGATTTGATGCATTTGATCAAAGACCAGAAAAGTTGTGGGATGACATCAAGAACATCATACAGGAAGAAAGCAAAAGGTCATTAAGAAGGAAAAAAACAAAATGGATGTCAGAAGAAACTCAAACTGTTTCAACAGTGGAGGTGTTAAAGCAAATGGAAGAAACGAGGAGGTACAAGAGCTGAACAGAAAATTTCAAAGGGCAGCTTGAGAAGACAAAGTCAGGTATTATAACAAATTGTGCAAAGACCTGGAGTTGGAAAACCAAAAGGGAAGAAGAACATGC